GTGACTCTTCTCACACTTGATCTGGGAGAAAAGTTGCAGACTTTAGCCCTTGGGAAGTTGCTGTGGTTAGAGCTGGAAAGCTGAAAGGATCAGCAAGACCTGCTCCAATAGTTGGTGGGATTATTGATTGTTGTCATCTCTAGCAGCATCTAATGTGAAGTTCCATTCTCAATATGTAACTTGAAAATTCACACGATTTAAAATAAAATGTGTATAAAAATTGATATCAGAACGAATCCTCTTTTTTTTTCTTTTTAGGTATTAATAGGTTACTAAATAATGGAACCTATGAAGCAGCATTTCCACCCCATGAGGTAACCTGCTTAATTTCAGTTTGATTTGTATATTTAGATTAAAGCTTGCACTAGTATTTTGGGATCCTACTTTAATTTTGTCCTGCAAACTTTTAATTTCACTATACAATCTGTTGATACTTTTATTATTTTTATAGCTCTGACTTTAATATTGGCTTTTAAAATTTTTCCTTACGTTGTATATTATAATAACATCTTGGAACATTTTCTTGCTGAACTGGGATATTATAATTCTTCTTTGATTTGTAGGAACTGGACAATGCCTGTGGAGTTCTTAATGAGAATCTTGGTTGTTCCAAGTTGTTCCAGTTATTTCTATTGAAGTATTTTTGCTTGCCACCTGCAAAATGTTCTGTTTTTTTTCTAATAGTTTGTACACTCGGTTACAGTTAGGAAAACAGATTAATTATTTCCCGTTTAGCCTTTTCTGAATAGTTCTAGATAACTTCTCCTTGACAATACCTTTAAAGTATACTGAAAACTGTAAACCCATGAAGAAAACTAAAACATTGTGTATGACTGGAGAGGTTTTAGACACTCTTTGGGCATTGAAGAGACAGAAGCAAGTCACACATCTTCAGCCCTTGGAGCTGCTCTCAGGAGTGTGGGAATTGCAGCTCTCACTCTGTGGTTCCTCAGCCAGGATATCGTGACTTGGTCGTGCGTTTCAAAGAACTGAGCTTTACAAATTGCTGGGAGTCATTTTTTTATGGCATTAATAATGAAATGCCAGGAAGACAGAGAGGAATCTTTAAGATAAATAATTTAGCACAGCTGTTCACGCCTCAACTGTGCAGTGCTGACTTCAGGGAACAGTTGGCTGTGCTACTAGAAAAGTGTGTCAAGCTTTCTCTGGTATCAAAGCCATGCTGTCATGTCCATTTTATGTGTTTCTTTCTTATGGCATCAGCTGCTGGTTCCATATTTCAGTTAAGATTAATGAAGTCATAGTTTTAAGCCACTTTGACCTTAATTTCTGCTCGACCGAGGCTCCGGACTAGTGGCTGAACACTCAATTTTGTTTTATTTTTCATTTTTTTCTTTGCCATATAAGCAAATAAGGGTGAAAATTCGATCCCAGAGGGAATGCTGAGAGTAGAACTCTGTTATGGATAAACAGTGCAGAAAGAAGCAGGGAAAAAACCTTAAAACATGCAATATTGGGTAATGTTTGTGCATTGCAATCATTCATCCAGCTGGCTGTGAGAGTGAGTTGATGTTCTGTTCCTATGTGTTTTGCTCGTGTGCCCAATTCCTGGGCATTGGAATGTGCTGCCCAGGGAGGTGGTGGATTCACCATCCCTGGAGGGTTTCAAGCTGAGACTGGATGTGGCACTTAGTGCCATGGGCTAGTGACCATGGTAGGGTTGGATTGGATCATCTTGGAGGTCTTTTCCAACCTGGAGGATTCTATGATTCTATGATATTAGTGAAATAGACTTGTACTTGAAATAGACAATGTACTTGAAGCTGTATAAAGGGTTGAGTAGTTCTTTGTAGTGTTGTATTAATATGTTTCTGTCATTAATTACTGGATAAACTGGCCATTTCAGAAGCATTTGTAACCCTCTCTCTTCTGTCAGGCTTCCATTAGCTCCAGATGACATGTCCTGTACGTCCCAGAATTAGAGACCTATTTATTAAATATAAAGAACATTTTGATTAAAACTCTATTAAGAAATACATAAGGAACTAAAATGTTTTCCATAATGCCTAGTAAAGTACTTACATGTCCTTGTTTTTTTCAGGGGAGCCATAAAAGCAGACATCCCATCAAAACACACGGAGCACAGAATCACAGACACCTCTTGTATGAGCGCTGGGCACGGTGGGGAATGTGGTACAAATACCAACCTCTTGATTTAATCAGGTATTAGTACTTTGAAGGGTTTCTGTGATACAAACAGCCTGGCAATAGTGGTGTTACTTGGGTTTCATACTTCCTCCTCTGACACTGAGCACCAGTCATTCCTTGCTGTCAGTTTTAATTCCTGATCTGACAGTCATAGCCACTCAGTGGTGGAGCTAAGCATGTGCCATGGGACAATTCTGTTCTGGATCACCCTTGATGGACTTTCTGATCACTGCCACTTCATCTGTTCCAGCACCTGATGCCCAAGTTTTCAAGCATTAAAGCTCAGCCTTCAGCTTGTGTTTTCAGATCATTAGTTTGAAATATGTCACGATACATAATTATATGTCATTTCTATAATGGAATACTGAGGTCATACTAAATTGCTTTATCCCTTTCCAGAATATTTTGTGTCTGTGTACACCTCTCTCTCTCTCTCTCTCTCTCTCTCTCTCTCTCTCTCTCTCTCTCTCTCTCTCTCTCTCTCTCTCTCTCTCTCTCTCTCTCTCTCTCTCTCTCTCTCTCTCTCTCTCTCTCTCTCTCTCTCTCTCTCTCTCTCTCTCTCTCATTCTCTCTCATTCTTTCTCTCTCTCATTCTCTCTCTCTCTCATTCTCTCTCATTCTTTCTCTCTCTCATTCTTTCTCTCATTCTCTCTCATTCTTTCTCATTCTCTCTCTCTCTCATTCTCTCTCTCTCTCATTCTCTCTCATTCTTTCTCTCTCTCATTCTTTCTCTCATTCTCTCTCATTCTTTCTCATTCTCTCTCTCTCTCATTCTTTCTCTCTCATTCTCTCTCTCTCATTCTCTCTCATTTTCTCTCTCTCTCTATCTCTCTATCTATATATATGTATATATATCTTAAATGAAATGTCATACTTTTAATAATATTGATACTAGTCCATCTACTGAGTCATTGCAAGGACATAAAAATTGCAGAGCCACTTCAACTATATCCTTATATTTTCCCATAAGTCTTCAATTAGTGTCACTAGAATGTTATGGTAGCCTGAAACAAAATATTTTGGTAAACTGACAACTTCGTCATAAATTTCTGATGGTAGTTTCTCCTTAGAATTACTGTACTACTGTGATAGTAGAGAGAGACAGAGATCACCGTAAGTTTCAACTTAAAAGCTAAACTTTAAATGTGTGTGTTTCCTTTTCATGCAGGCGATATTTTGGTGAAAAAATTGGACTGTATATTGCCTGGCTGGGATGGTATACTGGAATGCTTATTCTTTTGGGCTCTTTGTGTTCCTCTATGGATTATTTACAATGGATTCCAGCCAAGTAAGGTAAAATCCTATTTAACAGCATGTAATATAGCCCTTGGAAAATTAAGAACAGTCTGGCACTGTTTTCAATGTTTTCCAGATATGGTAATCATGTAAAAATAACCAAATAGTCAAGTCTATCCACTTTGTATATCTGTTTTGCATCAGGCTGGATGTGTACCATTGACAGCTACTGTTCTTGCTACTGCATCTGCAGGGATTCCCATTCTGTCTGTAAAGAAAAACAGCAAGTACCTCAGGGTCATGGATACTGCAGTGGTTGTTGTTCTAGTTAAGGCTAAAAGGTGAAAAAACAAGGCCTGTTTCCTCATTACCTCCATCTAGCCTATAACTTCCAGAGCGTAGAACAGTTGCTAAACTTCAGCTTACTTCTGCATATGCCTTTTTTTTCCTCCCTTCATTAATAGTGTCAAACTTTGAGTCTCACAAAATTCCTATCCTGCAGCCAGGAGACTCAGCTTCAGGGCAATGACAACCACACGAAAGGAGCCAAGTTTTCAAGTTTCCCACTGTTGGGATTTTGCTCTGAGAAGGGTTTATGCCAATTTAGATGCTGTGGTGATGGAGCTCAAGAAGTGCTGACTGCACTTTTAGGAACTGTTTCAGAGGATGCATCCTCACTACAGAGTTTTCCATTAGATGTTATTAGACACACCAGTATCAGTGCTCTAATAATTGCAACTGTTGTTCCAAGCAGTCTGAGTGCTTAGGCTGTAAGTGTACTTGGAGTCAGATTTCATAGATTTTCTCAGGCTTTGAGTGAGGCCATATTAAGTTTCCTTTATTGAATTTTCTTTAACTTCTGTTTCACAGTAAGTTGTATTCTACAGTGCTGTGGTGAACACTTTCTTTTTAGGCTTGCTTTGTACAGCAAACTCATGAGAAACTTTATAAATTCAAACTGTATTAAATGCAGTTAAATGAAATAAACATATCAGGCAGGAAACTAGCTTGCTAGTTGATGATCTTGGAGGTCTCTTCCAACCCAGGTGATTCTGTGATTCTTTGAACTCTGTACTCATTCTGGCCTGAGGGTTACTCAGGACAATTTCTTTTTCAGGTCCACATCATGTCATAGGGTTTCAGTGAATCAGTGATTCTGATGTTATGTGAAGTCTGACCAAAGATTACTATTTATATTTACTGTTATGTCAGGCAGTATTTAATAGATGCACTCATTTGGAAACAACCTCCCAAACTGGATTAGAGCTGTAAATTCAGCTTTTATGAGAAAGTGAGTGAAAGTGCAATGTTTATTTCCTGGCATTTGTTTTATACTGCTACTTCCCTAGTGTGTCATAGGATCCTTTCAGGCACGTTATCAGTGCTAAAGGACAGAGAAAGGCAATTCCTGAGGTTCTTTGGGAAGCTTACTCACTGCAGTTAAAATTTTACTTAAAATTCCTTTTAACACTTCTGTTAGTTGTGTTTTGCCTCTGTGCAGACACTTAGGTATGTGCTATGCTGTGAATATCAATGGTCCCAGTGAAGACAATGACTTCATCTTTTTAAATCTTAGGATTCTTAAAATTCAAAATGTGGCTTCAAGATATTTTCTCCCAAAATACGATATTAAAGTGGGGTTTTTATTAGTCCTATACATAAATTCTTTTGTGGACACTCAGAATGCAGAGACTTAAAACAGAGCTGCCAGAAATCCCTGTCAGTGGGTTTTGACATGTGACTGGCTGATCTAAGTGTGTGTGCCATGAACAGAACTCCAGCTGATCCAGCTGGGATAAGGTGACTGAAATCAGTGTAGTGGTACCAGTGCTGTCCATCCTCAGAATGTTTGGTGTCTTCTGCATCACTCGGAGAAACAGGCAGTGAATGGGCTGGAAGGTGGTGAGCAATATCTTGTTCTTCTGCTTGTGATATTTGGGATCGAATCCACTGGTGCAACAATCATAACACGATGGCAAAAAAATTGCACTCTCCCCTACAGCTCAGAGCATTTGGGTTCCTGATTTGGGTGAGGCTTTTTAGGCCAAACATTCTCTTTTGATTTATTTTGTTGATCCACTTGTGTGGTGTGGACACTGTTAGCAAACAGAGCACAAATGGCATAACCACTGAAAATCCAGAGAATGTGCAAACAGAGCACAAATGGCATAACCACAGAAAATCCCGAGAATGCGAAAAGTCTTTTTATAACCTTCATTTTCCTGTCTCATCCTGAAGCAAAGAGATCTGTGAGGCAAATGAAACCATCATGTGCCCAATGTGTGAACGCAACTGCACACTGCAGAAACTCAACGAAAGCTGCATCTATGCCAAGGTAATCACTTCTTACTGCTCTCAGGGCAACTTGTGGCTGAGGATCCCCTGGCACTGTGCAATGCCTGCCCTTGTTTCAGCAAAGATTCCTGCAAAATATGTTGTTTCTCTACAGAGGGTTTTGTCAGCCTGTGTCATTCAGATTTCTAATAAGGGAATGGTCAGAGATTACTCTAAAATTACTTTCTGTGAGCAATGCCTGCCCTTGTTTCAGCAAAGATTCCTGCAAAATATGTTGTTTCTCTACAGAGGGTTTTGTCAGCCTGTGTCATTCAGATTTCTAATAAGGGAATGGTCAGAGATTACTCTAAATTTCCTTATTAATAAACCCCTCATCTTTCCATCAGCTTATAAAGACTCCTGAGTAAAAAATTATTTTTTGCACGGTTTTTCCTGCTTTCCCCTGTGACTAACTTCTTGCCCTGTTTCCCCTGTTTGCTTTGTAATTGGACTTTTTGCTCCTCCTAAAGGAATTCTCCAGCAGAATGTGGCTCTGATGTGCTTTGCTCTGTCAAACTAATGCGAAAGTTTTACAGAGTATTTTGCTACGAGAAGCTTTTCTTCCAACTTTAATACTCACAAGTACTTCTGTATGCACACAGTGTTTCCAAGAGAGCAATATATTTTGATGCACAGTGTGTTCATAATGCTGGCAAAGCAGCCTTGGCATTTTTCTTGGAAACCTTAAGCCCATAAAATAACTCTTCCTCAGAAGTCTGTGTTTATAGAATGGGATTGTCTCTGCACCATGGCATTGCAACAAAGCTGCTGCAGTGGGAAAGAGAAAACAGTTTTGTGTCAGATTGCAAAATTTCATATAGATACAACCACTGTTGAGTGAAACTCAACATTTCAAATCTATCTGTGAAGATATTTATAAAGATTATTTAGGTTTCTGTTTTACAAGGTTGATTTTCTATTTGATAATGCAGAAGTTTAAAAGTTGTTTAGCATCAACAGCAATAAATACCACTGAAAATGTTGTACTTAAGGCAAAAGTGGAGTTTGTTTTTAAACACTGCTCTAACTATATGGCCCAAAATCACTCCATGAGGGATTCTTGTAACTTTTGTTTTACTAATTTCTTTATGTGTACTGAAGGTAAAATCTTTCCTAACTGAAATAGCATCATGCAAGCTACAAAACCCATCCCAGAAATGACTCTTGAAGGTGAGAGTCTCCAGCAGTCCACTGCAGTTTAACAGGAAATTAATGCCTTTGGCATTGTGGTATTCCTTTACCTTTAGATCCTGTGATTTTCAGGTCGCCCTTAATGAGAAGCAGTTTTTATGTCTTACTTATATTTACACTTACATCATGTGCTTAAATCATGCAAATTTCACATTTAATGTCACACTGTGAATAATTCATTGCAGCAGAAAAACATGTGCCAGTCCATCCATACTTGCATGCATTTTCAAATCAATCCTCTTGTGAAAAATCCAGATGACAACCAGGGCAGACAAGCAGTAACCACTTGTATTCATCACACCAGGCAGACCCTTCTTGTGTCTGCAAACGTTGTGGCAATTCATGTCAGTTCCAGCTCTTCTTGCCAATGCTTTTGCTCTGGAAAACTGATCAACCTTGGATTAGAACACAGAAAACAAACAAAATTTGTCTCCTTTCAGGCTTTGTCTGTTCTCAATCTCCCCTAATTGGGGAAGAGACAAAATTCTCTTTGGGGAGGGAATAGGATTACCATCTGGCCACGCAAATGGCAAATAAAAATGCTGAAAAAAAAAAAAAAAAAAAAGCTCAGTGAAGCTTTTTATGAAGGTTGTGACTATAATTCCTTCACTCATGCTGATGTCTCTAAAGAAAAGTTCCCAGCAGCTTCACTCCTTAGCTCTTGGTCAGAACCACAGCAGCAGGGGCTGTGATCCTGCTGGTTGCCACCGTGTTGCTCCAGCTGAGCAGCAAATTCCCAACTGTGGCAGCACTTCCACTGTGCTTGCACCCAAATCAGTGAAGGAAAACAGTCTGTGATGGGAGACAACCACAGTCTGATTCCAAATCAGGTGCTCCTTTGTACTTTGTGCAGCACTGTTAGTAATAGAAGTAGTTGGAACTAATGTATTTAAAGATAAAGCTCTGGGAAAAAGAACTGGCATTTCCTGCTTGTTTTCTTGTTCCTGGGATGGAGCTTGTCAGGGTTTTCCTCTGGTTTTATCATTGTGGGGACATAACTTCTCTGTCTTCCTTCCACACAACCCAATTGCTCATAGGCAAGGGAAGCTGTTCCTGATTTTTCCAGGTATCAGTACCTTATTCTGCAGTAAATGTTTTAACCTCACTCATTCAAGTAGCTCATTGTGGAGTATGTAAACACTGAGCTCATTAGGAACAGAGTTCCTTTAGGACACGTTCATCTCCCCAAGAAAAGGGGAGAGTTATCCAAGCTTATAAAAACCTTAACATAGAAAAGGTTGAGGTTAAATTTGACCCACCATATGATAAGAAAGCTGGATGAATTTTTAGCCTGGCTGGACATGGACAGAACAGCTCCTGGTGTTTGTGAAACTAAATAACTGGTGATGCATGAAGTGACAGTAGAGAAGAGCAGATTGCAAGTTATTCTGGAAGACTTACTGTCACAGCCCTTGGTAGAAGAAAGGTGCAAGTAGGACTTAGTAGAACGTTTAGCTTGTGGCTTCTGCCACCAGTTATGGACTCTGGGATTATTGGTGGCAAAAGGTAAGTGGCAATATTATTTGTTCCTGATAATATTTATTTTCTATTCAGGTCACACATTTGTTTGATAATGGAGGGACTGTCTTCTTTGCTATTTTCATGGCAATCTGGGGTAAGTACATTTTTATTTTACTTTTTTGTGATGGTTCCAGCATGAAACACCTGGTGGAATTAGCTTGCATGGGAGCTTACAGTGTTTTGCTGCCAGGACATAGTGAAGACTGGTGTCAGACCTAGAGATACTTAATTTTACCAGTGTGAATGTTTGCCAGTGTAAACCCTGAGGAAATAATACCAGTTCATATCCATACAGATGTCTGAATTCAAACCAGAGCTTTACCATTTTAGATAAAATGCCACATAACCACTTTAGTTATGCAGTATATGTGAATGAGCATGAATGATTCTAACCAAAAGTGAAGGATGAACAAGCATCACAAATTTTGGAGGTTGGAATGGTAAAAGCAAAAAGCAATGTACAAACAAACGTCAGAGACTTACACAGACAACACAAGCACATGCAAAAATCATCACTGGATTGCCAAAAATGAACGTGATATAACTGAAGGACACACTTGGTTTGATCCTGGCTTGGGTGAGACATAAGGTGGCCAGAGGACCAGGGCAGTGACTGTCCTGCTCAGCACTGCTGAGGCCACACTCAAACACTCAGAGTTTTCAGATTCTATGGGGACAATTGTCAGAGAGTGGCTAATGACAGTTATGTTAAATTACTGCTTTTCTTGAGATCTGCATGACCCTTTTTGTTAGCCTTTTTTGTTTGTTTGTCAGTGTCATTAACATGAAGTTTGTTTTCCACAGCAACAGTCTTCCTGGAGTTTTGGAAACGACGCAGAGCTGTATTAACCTATGACTGGGACCTCATAGACTGGGAGGATGAAGAGGTAAGAAGCAGAAGGAAACCTGGAATGCTATCAGCATGACCCGAGTGTCCATATCAATCCATACCTATCAGCATGACCCGAGTGTCCATATCCCTCCATATTGGATGTCAGAAATCTGAGTTTGTTGCTCAGATGATATTTGTACTATAACACCAGCTGCAGAATGAGCAAGTGTACTTGAGATTATACAAGGAAAGATACTTTGCCTTCTGCAACTAGCATTATCATTCCAAATATAATTCTACAGTTGTTAAAAGTATCCTTTGAAAAACTGAGTGGAAATACTTCCCCTACAGAGAGCAGGAGCTGCTACTGATGCCAGCACAGATGCCTTTCAGTTTTGTGGTTTCTTGTACTGGAAATTCCTGATCCTGCCTGAAAATGGGACCAAGACAAGCAAAGGAACAGAAACTAGCTATTATAACCTTCTGAGAGGCATAGCCTATCCTCAAACATTTTGCTGTCAGCATCAGCAGTAATAAAATGATTCTATTACTTCACAAATCACCAGTGAACAGAGCTGTAATTTCATTGTATTGGTGATTTAATCGCAGTCTAAGTCACTAGACTTTATCATTACTTGTTCTCTGGCTTTCCACAGATGGGTAGATACAAGCATTTAATGAATGGCTTCACATCACAAAAAGCACCATTATAACTGGCATTAATTTGTAGTTCTCTTATCAATTTCTGCAGACAATGTAGTGTCTAAGTCAGTAATGTGACCTGTGATCTTTTTAATGCCCTTACATAAGGGGGAAGGCTCTTCTGCTTTCTCTTCTCTCCTGGTCTCTGGCACTGTTTCCAAGGCTTTTCAAAAGACCAAATTATTTCAGTATTTGAATTGAAGCAGTATAAAAAAAATAATGTGTATGAGTCTAATTTTTTGCTTTATAGCACATATATGTCTGATACTTGACACCTCAGATGAATGAGTCCTGCAACAAATGGAATCCACCCTGTCATTCCAGGAAGAGCTGCGACCCCAGTTCGAAGCTAAATATTCCCAAGTGGAAAGAGTAAATCCCATCACAGGAAAACCTGAACCTTTCCAGCCTTTCCCTGATAAGCTCAGCCGACTGATGGTGTCTGTCTCAGGAATATTCTTCATGGTGATGTTGAATAATATCAGAATTTGTGTGTTGTAATTAATCTTATTCTGGTGTAAATAGTAACTCGTCCTGAGTGCACTCATTAAGTTTAGTGGATTTGCATAATATAGGCAAAAGTCTCAGTCTTACTCTTTGCTTAGGGACCTGTTCTTCCAAGAGATGTTATCTAGTTACATCGTAAAAGAGCAGTAAAGAAATGCTTTTACCCATCAATCCAGTGGTTTTGTGGAATTCTGCTCTCTAAAGCAAATGGAAATCCTTAAAACACTCGTTGATCTATTATTATTTCAGTGGAAATGGTTTCAGAAATGCCTCCTTTTGTTCTGACACCTGTGTCCATAAACACCTGCAGATTTCCCTGGTCCTCACTGCAGTGTTTGCAGTCGTGGTGTATCGACTCGTAGCCATGGAGCAGTTTGCCTCCTTCAAGTGGTATTTCATCAAGAAGTATTGGCAGTTTGCAACGTCTGGCACTGGAGTCTGTATCAATTTCATGATCATCATGTCACTCAATGTTGTAAGTCTTCTTTTAAAGGAGGGATTCATTTAAAAGGGGAGTTTCTACAAGGTTACTCAGTTTGTTTTATACCAGATCTAAACATGTTTGTGCTGATTCATGTAGCAGTGTCTGAAGACAGGATTTCAGGGGGGTTTTGTCTTCTGATATTGTTTGTCAACATTTTTCTCTAATGCTCCTTACTTTGTCACTGCACCAGCTCACAGGGGTACAGACTGCTGCTTTCTCCCTTTGCATTTTTTGGCATTCATGTAAACTTTTACAACAGAACTGCATTAGTTTCTTGGCTAAAGAGAATGGGACTAAAGGAGTACAATGAAGTCTTTATAGGAAACTGTACACATCACCCTCCCTTCTGTGCTCACACACTTTGATGCTGTAGGGCAGCAGAATTCCTGTGCTTCTGATGCTTGTTTTCCTTCTGGATTTGGCATCACAACAACCAGGATTTGCTTTACTTACACCATCTCTTCTGTCTGTTTTAGGTGTATGAAAAGGTTGCCTATCTCCTGACAGATCTAGGTATGTAGGCATTTACTAGTGGTATGATCCTTTCTTAGTTCCACAAAGTAAGGTTTTGAAAATGTCACGTATGCATAATACATTTCTGGGATTTCCCTAAGCAAGTGAGGAAATAGTAGAAAAGTGAGTCATTTTTTCTTCTATTTCTACTTCTTTTAATGTTTCATAGTATAAATTGAAAAACTCTCATCTCATTTTGGAGCCAAAGTCAAAACATGCTTTCTTAGAATACTAAAAGATGTTTTCCATTTTTCCCCAATTCTTGTCTATTTTTCACTCATTTTTAATTTGAACTTTCCTATGGGGAAATAAAAAGATAAAATTAAATTGCCCACGATAAACATGCTAAGTCGTGAATTTTAAAGTAGCTCTAATTCTGTCACATTAAAAAGTTATGCTGAAGCCTCTAGTTGTGGTTTGGTCACAGAGGTCAAGTTTTCTAGCTTATGGGAAACAAAGCAAAGACAGAATTTAAGATCTCTGACTATGTCAATGTGTGACCTTTCAGTGTTTCTTCTTCCATGCTCACTTTTAGCCCATGTCAGGTTAGGCAAGTGATCTTGTCTTGGTTAAGACTCCTGGTTAAGGTATTAAACAAGGTGTTCCAAACTCTGCAGTGTTTCAGGTAAGGGGTAATTGAGCACAAACTCTGCAGTGTTTCAGGTAAGGGGCAGTTGAGCTGGTTAGAAAGACAAAGAATGTATAGTCAACTTGCTTAACTGATGAACATTGAAAATATTGTGTCTTTCTGAAGAGCACCCTAGGACAGAATCCGAGTGGGAAAACAGCTTTGCCTTGAAGATGTTCCTCTTCCAGTTTGTCAACTTGAACAGCTCCATCTTCTACATTGCCTTTTTTCTTGGCAGGTAAGTCATTCTTCTAACTGCACTTAAAGGAAAACTTGCACAGAACTCAAAAGGTCCAAAGAAAATACAGTGACAGTTTAAACTGTAAGATTTAGATGCAAGTCAGTTTCTGAGGATAATTAATAGCACTAAATTAATATTCTTATCTGTTTGTGGGGGTTGAGAGAGTAAAAATTATTCTTCTTAAGTGGGTCTATGTACAGGATTTTCCTACTAAATGATAATTCAGAACCTTTGAAAATACATCCACTTCCTAAATGTGGGTCTGGATTTAGCCCTGTGCTAATAAGCTTTGGTAATTTTTTTCTTGTTTATTCCCCTTGACTTACCTTTCCCAGGATGCATTTTATAAACAGCCAATATTGCCTGGCAGGTCTGACACAGGAGAAGGCACAGAAATTCTGGCTCCAGTTTTTTGTGTGCATCCTTAGCTCAGAGCATGAGATCCAGTACAGGTCTAACCTTGCTTCATCTTCAGTTCAGTTATGGTCACACTCACCATTCCTGCAGAACCCACAGAATATTTCAGAGTGCTTTCTATAAAGTTTTATAGTATAATTTCACTTCAAGATTTTTTGATGGAAGAAAACAAAAGCAAACAAGCAAATGAACAAAAAAAACCCTCTAGAAAATCTGTTTGTTACATCTAGTGATGTATTTGTCATACAGTTTCTAAACTTCTTTGTGTCTTGTTCTCTCCCATGTCTACTGGGACCAGGCAAGGATTTCTTTCTCTGTCATTTATAACTTTCACTGAAGTCATTAAGAATTTTGATTCAATTTTTTTATACAAATCAAGTGCACACTTCACATGGGCAAGCAGATCCCTGTGCTGCAGTAAATTCCTATGTATTGCAATGGTTTGTCTTCTTAGAAGTAGATTAGACTCTGAATAACTAACATCTAAAACCTCTGAAGCCAGGAGTTTTGTGCAGGGCATAATAAAAGCTTAGGATCACTTGCAAAATGATGGTCCTTGTTTGCATTCTGAAGTTTCTGTGTTCTACAGATTCCAGATCTAAGCCTGTGTGATTTGATCTGTTGATATTTCATGAGTTTGTTCAGTGCACGTTGTGAAATCACTCCTGACACAGGGTGTTCTTGGACTGTCTGCTGAGAAACAGGAATCTTGTTTTCCAGGTTTGCCGGACGCCCAGGAAAGTACAACAAGCTCTTTAACAGATGGAGGCTGGAAGAGGTAAACGATCCTGGTTTGTGTTCCTGACATATTTCCATGAGTAAAAAGGAAATGGCTGAAGGCCATGAATGCCTAGTCTGAAGGATTTGTTATTCTAAGTGCAGGAAAGAGTAAAGTCTGTAAAGTTTAGCGAAGGATAGGAAACAGGAGATGTGTTTTTCCTTCTGCATGCTGCACTGTGCTAAGTGACTCTGCCCAAGATACACAGTTCTTTGTCTTTGGGAAAAGCAAACAGGGGTAGTCCTTTACCCCAGAAGCACTACAAGGTCCTGTGAGTCTGGAATCTCCTGGGTATGTGGAATTTTTGGATGGAGGACACAAATTCAAAGCCATCAGCTTCTTAAATTTCCTTCAGCAGAGAAAAGACACAGCTCTGTCGAGTGGGTCCAGAGGAGGGACAGGAAAATGGTCAGAGGGCTAGAGCATCTCTCCTGTGAAGAGAAGCTGAGGGAGGGGATTGTTCAGCCTGGAGAAGAAAAGGCTCCAAAGAGCCATTATTGCTGTCTCTCAGGTCTTAAAGAGGCTTATAGGGAAGGTGAGGACAAACGTCTAGTAGGGTCTGTTGAGACAGGTCAGGGAGGAATGGGTTTAAACTGCAAGGTTAGATTTAGACTAGGTATAAGGAGGATAATATTTTTTTTATTATTATGAGGATGGCAAAGCACTGGAACAGGTTATCTAGAGAGGTAGAGGTTCCCTAGATATCCCATCCCTGGCAACATTCCAGCTTAGCTGGGATGGGGCAGGTTGAATGGGGCTTTGAGCTATCTCATCGAGTTGAAAATGGCCATGCTCATAGCAAGAGTTTGGACTATATGATCTTAGGAGATCCTTTTCAACTCAAACTGATGTGTATTCTATGATTTAAAATAAGGAGAATAGTATTTTCAAAACTTAACTTGAAAACATGTTAGAATTGCAACTTGCCAGTATGAAGTTCTCTGTTATCTCTGAAAAACAGTTTTCTTTGATTGAACCTTGGTAGCCATGGAGTAAAATATCATAACTTTGTGGTCTGAAAAAAAGATTTTTTAATTACTGAACATTTTAATATGGCACTCTGTATAGTTAAGGTACCAGTACCAGAAATTAAGCTACTAAGTCTCTCTTTGGACTTAGAGAATTGCAAACGAAATGTTGCTCCATTCCTTTGAAATTTATATGTATGAAATGGTCTATATCACTTATCATATCTAGCACACATACCCTTAACTTAGGTAACATGATCTAGTTCTCCAAGAAATAGTATCTCTAAAGGTTGTTCCTCTGAAGTCTGTCTTAATATTTCTGTAGATGGAGGTTAGTGTTTTTCACCAAACATATTTCGTATTTTTCATTTATCCTCCGAACAAATAAAAATAAAGGAATTTTGGGGCTATTTATCTGTTTCTACTTCCTTTCAGTGTCATCCCAGTGGCTGCTTGATAGATCTGTGCCTGCAAATGGGAGTGATTATGGTTTTAAAACAGATGTGGAACAACTTCATGGAACTAGGCTATCCGTAAGTTCAGACGCTGAAGTTTACTCTACTAATAGTGAATTTGTGAGGTTCAATGATAGGGAAACTGTTTTCATGTTTGGAGAATATTTTCACTTTTTGCATCTTACATACTGTGCCTTTATTCCCCAGGGAAGCAGTAACTGCTGCTCTAAGATATTGCTGCTTTGGGGGTGTTAACCATCTAATCTGTGCATTATGATTTCATTTTCCATGGTGCAAACAGAGCTGTTCAGCCTCTGATGAGACTGATGGGCTGAGTCTTCTCTTTGAACTGGAAGAATCTATTTGCAGAAAAAGGTTAATCATCAAATATTAATCTAATCAAAGTCTCAACCTTGAAAATATGTTCAGAAAGGGTCAGCTCAAAACATGCAACCACTCTGCAAATGAGGGTCAGTGTACTGGACCTTGGGATTTTGAAGAGGGGAAACCTGCAAGAGCTACCAGGTTTCCTGTCTTTTCAGCCCTCAGGACCTTAACTCTGGCTAGAACTTAGTTTAGACCATGCTTATTTTCCTTTATGGAAAGAAGTGTTTTGTTGTGACAGAACCGTTGTTTGCAACTTAGGCAACATTTGCTCTTTGAGAAACAAGAGAGATCAAGAGCCAGACATGAAATTACCTTGAGAAAAAATAGCAGCCTGTTCATAAGAATACTTGAAGTTATTTTCCAGCTTCAGTCTCTCTTCCATAACATCTAGGCACAAACAGTAGTATTTAATTGCCCCCTGTGTTGCCTGGCTAATATTTCTGACTTGTACAACACTTGAATTTGTAGCTACTTTGTGCAAAGATCTCTGCACAGCTTTATAAAGAACAGTCTTAAACATTTGCAGCTTCAGCAACGCTTGCAAAGATCTCTGCACAGCTTTATAAAACACAGTCTTAAATATTTGCAGCTTCAGCAACACTTCTAAAGACTTTTTCCCACTTCAAGAAAAAAATATTCTGTAGAGCATCTAGATCTTTCAGTTTGTTCAAAAATACTAGATGTGTTCTAGTGTTCACCATATTCTAGTTCACCATGTTCTTCCTGAGCTCCACTTACTTGGTTTGTCTTTTACAGGGTTGAAAATAAAGCATTAGTTACTTTTTAATGCTCTTGCTCTGCATGATTTTTTAATTGTATTTTTTTAACGTAGTCATGCAGGTAAATCCTTACCAAAAACAGTCCATGCAAACATGTTCCACATTTAGAAAAGTTGATCAGTACAATGCCAGATGTGGCACATTGAAGACATAACTGCAGAATTTTGGGATCTTCTCTATGTTCTTTTGATTGTCTCTTGTATGATACTGTAAATATTTGCAGAAAATATCTAGCACATTCAGGTGCTATTCAAAATAGTCCCAGTTACATCCAAACAATAGCAGAAAGTATTTGAGGTGGCTGAGCAGGCACAGTCAATAACACTCTCCTTGTCTCCTGAAGTTTGTTACAGAATTGGTGGTCACGGCGCAAAATGAAGAGAAGAGGGCAATCGATGGAGAATAAAATTTCTCTACCTCAGTGGGAGAAAGATTGGAATCTGCAGCCTATGAATCTCCATGGTTTAATGGATGAATATTTAGAGATGGGTGAGCAAATTCAGGGAGGTGTTGGCTCCATTAAGGAAGTGGAACTACCTTGTTGCCTGTTGAAAGACGCTTTGCATTTCCCATTTCTAACCAGAGAAATGTCTGTCCAGTTTTACAGTTTGGCTTCACCACCATCTTTGTCGCTGCCTTCCCACTTGCACCTCTCCTTGCACTGCTGAACAACATCATAGAGATCAGGTTGGATGCCTACAAGTTTGTCACTCAGTGGCGCCGGCCTATGCCTGCAAGAGCGACGGATATCGGTGAGAGAGCCTAGTGACTGTCACCAGCAGTTTGTGCTTCCTTCTTTACAGCAGCTTCACTGCCAAAATATTTCATGTGTCAGCATTGCTAACATAACCTACAGATCCCAGTGACAACTCCCCTGTTGAGCAACAGGAGGATCCTCCCTTGCTTTGCTAAGAGAACTCCTCAAACTTGTTTTCCATTTCCAATAAGGAATCATAATAGTTGTAATATTGAAATCAGGCTAAGTGCTATTTCAGCCTTCTGATGTGTGGAACTCTAGGTTAAAGTTCAATTGAATTTAGAAACTAAGTTTAAGGAGTGAATTCCCTTTTGATTTAAAACTGAATTAAATAAGATTAAGAAATCTCTTTCCAGAATCTCCTATTTGGCTATCATAGCCAAAGATTATAGTTATGCCTTTGTTGCTTAGCTAGTTCTTCTCAGTAGGGTGTGCCCTTCTGTCAGATTTCATCCAGGTGGAGCCAGTGGTGGCCGCAATGTGGGGACATGGCTTAGTCTTGACCAGTTTCTCTGACTCAAAATTCTTTCTCAATAAAAAAGAGAATCCATGTGACTAATAATGACTTCATTATGACTAGTATGACTTTGTACACCTTAATATGACAGTAAAAACTAACTGCATTGTCATTTCTCTCATTTCTAGGTATCTGGTATGGAATTCTGGAAGGAATTGGAGTTCTGGCTGTCATCACCAATGCCTTTGTCATTGCCATTACTTCTGATTACATTCCACGTTTCGTCTACGCATACAAATATGGTCCCTGTACAGACCAAGGGTACAGACAAGAAAAGTAATTAACATACTCTTTCTATACATATATGTGTATTTCAGTGGGAGCACATCTTGCTGCTGTGTTTGTGATAACATACACACCACAACCAGCACAGTCAGATGCATCTCTGGTTTACATCAGTGCAGACCTTCACAGAGGTGAAGTGCAAGTAACTCAGCCATTCCAAAGGCTTTGCAGACTAACTCCACAGTTACATACTTCAAAAATCACCTCTTCCCTTCTGAATGCAAACAGCAAAGTTCAATGTACATAGTGTCAGTTTTCAGGCTTTTTCTAGATAAGCCTTTCTTCATTTCTGCAATAGCTCTGGACTATCTTCCCCCACTACATTCCTGAGCACATGTAAATGCTCCCAAAGCCTCTTTTATCCTAAGCCTCAGTCACTGTCAAACTTCCCTGCCTGTTTCTCTTACAAATGCTTGGAGCCAGACTGCCTGGCCTCGACAGGATGGAGCTGAACTCCAGCTGTAGTGGCTCTTGGCTTCAGCAGGGGATCTTGCCTTGCTTTGCACCACCAGACCAGTCTCCTGCACTTCTCTCCAGGCCATTACCAATGGGTTTTGGCCTTTGGGTCCACCATGCTCTGTCTGCATTTCCCACTGTCTACCATGACCTTGTACACGATCTGAGCAGATCATGATACACTTGGGCATCCTCTTTCCTTTGGAATCCAGGGCCCTGCAGGTGTTCTCAGGGCATGGGTTTGGAGGGGTTTTTTAATTCCTTTCTTTTTAATGTGGGAGTCAGGGTTACCTCAAAAATAGGAAGCATCATTTGCTATTACTATAACAGTCTCACAAGCACAATTTATCTTCTTTACTGCTCAGGAGGAAGGAGAAAAGTGAAAGCATCAAGGCTTGTCCTGCATTCAGAGACTCAGTTCAAACTGCAGGGGTCTGTCATTCCTTCTCTCATTGCTCCATCTCTAATGGTTCAAAATAGAGATCTACCCTCCCTGTGCTGGCACAGGAAGAGAAAATTTATGGGCAAAAAATAGGAGGCAGGATAGGATGAAAAGAGACAGCAAAATGTTAGTGCTTAATGCACACTACCCATTTAACAGAGAACTATGTAATTATGTTTTTTCAGTAGTGATTTGAGGTATCAGAGCAAACCTGAAGACTTAGGATGTATAAAAGCATTCCTCATGCATCTCTTTTTAAAACTTCTTAGACTTTCAGGTGTCCTTTAGTTAAGTTACAAGACATTTCAAAGACGATGGGATGTCTTAAGTGTCTGTGGTTTTCAAGGAATAGCAGAAAACTTCACTCTTACAGTCATGAATCAATATGGTTATATGATTTCTGTCATTATACTAATAAATTGTTGCCCTTAAGATGGCTGTTTGGTAGAGATGCACTGTTCATTTTACTGCTGGTGAAAATTCTTCATAAAATTCATCTCATCTCATAAGGTTCATCTCATAAAACCTGCCATTTTTGGTGTACACTGCATGGTTGGTGGCAGATTCTGCCAGGGTGGGAAGTTACTCTGCTCTCTGCCTCTCATCATCTTTCAAAGTGCAGTAACTTTAGGAAACAGTGAAAAACACTGTAGCAATAACTTTTGGTTTATATCTCCTGGTAGGTAAGAGGCAAAACCATAAAAAGTGCTGAAAATAGATTTTTTAACAGTGTTACACCTGAAACAGATGTTACTCATTTCTTTCCAATACATTTAGCTTCTCTGCATAAAATTTTGGAACTGTTTTTGTCCTGATAAGCAAATTATGGTTCTAATATGTGATAACAGAATATGTTTACATACAGGATCTATGCTGTATAACCACTGTATGAAGAAAGTCCTGACCCTGTGGCTTTTCCTTTCAGGTGCTTAAAAGGATACGTCAACAGCAGTTTGTCAGTATTTGATCTGAGTGAACTTGGGATGGGATACTCGGGATACTGTCGGTATGTTTGGATGTTCTCTCTTGTAATACAGGCATGGCCATTAATGCAGGCACTAAACTGGAAGTCAGTGCTTAAATTACTGGCACAACAGCTTGTTTTTCATGTGTAAAAGCATTGGAGTTCATCCTTGTTCAGTGTGGAAGTTTCAGGTGCAAACTGTGTGCTGGGACACACTAACACACTGGTAAACTGTGTTTGGAGTTTCTCCAGAACTCTTGCAATCCATTCTCTTTCCTGCCTCTATGAATGAGTTCATTTCAAAGTTTCCCCAGCTGCCCAGGAGAGTAAACATTGTCATTTCAGTTTTGTTAGGCATTCTGAAGTCTACTAATTGAAATACACCATTAAAAGTTTTGTTGTGGCTCTAACCCAGGTGGAGATTTTTGCAAGATGACTCCAAGAAACTCAGCATAAAAATGGACTATAATGTTGCATGAGTGCACCTGTGGTTTCAGATGTAGTTTTGCAGTGAGCATTGGTTCAAATGGACTGAGAAGTTTTAGAATCATGTTACAGTTATGCAAACTTTTGAGAATCTCAAATGCTTATAAGCAAAGACAAGAGTCAATTTAGAGTCAATACACTTGAACTGAACACTCCAAAAAATTGTTAGATCGGGATTTTTTTAACTAAAAACTGCCATTTCATAAACACCCCTATTTAACAGCCTACATAGTGAACTGTTGTTCCCCCTTTCTGTTTAACTCCCCTTTCAATCTACTTTCAATGCAGTTTCTCTTCTTTTATCCAGAGCTGGGATGAACTAGAGACCCCTGACTCCAGGTTTTTGAGCACGGGCTAACTTACTGGGTTTCCCTTTGCTTTGCAGGTACAGAGACTACAGAGCTCCCCCATGGAGTTCAACTCCCTATGAATTCACCCTGCAGTTCTGGCATGTCCTGGCAGCACGACTGGCCTTCATCATAGTGTTTGAGGTTAGTTATGGCACAATTCCTTCCTACCTCTGAAAGTCTTAGTTGATTTTTTTACAGTGTTCCTGTAAGTAAATTGTCATCTTCATCGATTGCTTGTTCATTAGCCAAGAGAGAGGAAATAAATTGCTCTCCCCAAACTGATGTCTATCAGCTGCTTCAGTCAGGAGTGACAGAACATGCACCTATGTGGAGTCCCTCCAAAGTCCTAGTTCCTTAACAGGCATTTTATACATCCTGCTGCTTCCCAACCAGAACTTTCACATTTTATGGAAATAGAAGAAACACAAGTTTTTGTGTACATTAGGCACAGTTACTACAAGATAAAATACAGGCAAGGCAAATGATACATGATCCTAGCTTAATATAAAAGTAGAAATGTATATACTAACTTTGAAGAGCATGTTGCACACTGTTCAAGAATCTGGTTACCTATTTCTGTTATGAGCCCTTAACAAAGACTCCTTGTAGGCAGTGTTTGCATTTTTCCACCAAACTAGCACACCCTGCAGTCACATCTTCGTTTAAGTCATTTAACTATACCCTTAGTTTTACTTTTCAGAAGCCTTAAGCATTTCCCCATTTCTGTTGGGACACTCCTTATTCCCATTTGGGTGTGTGTTTTTATTAAAAAAATGAAGGACTTTCAGCCACGAATTGACCCTCAGTTCCAGTTTTGCCACAGTCCTTTAGGCTCTAAAATGTGGTCCTAGAAATGAATATTTAATCCATTTTTAAGTGATTATTTTTGTTCTTCTTTTCAGCACCTTGTTTTTGGAATAAAGTCTTTCATTGCCTACCTGATTCCAGACATGCCCAAAGACTTGTGTGACAGAATGAGGAGAGAGAAATACTTAGTCCAGGAGATGATGTATGAGGCTGAACTGGAACATTTGCAGAGAGAAAGGAAAAAGAATGGGAAACAGTATCACCATGAATGGCCTTAGTGACTACCATGCTGCAAGAGAAACATCGTTTGAAAATTGCAGAGTGCAGTCACAGTGAAATCAGAGTCTGGCAGCAGTGTGAGATTCATCTGTGGTGTATATATGTTCTTGCTGGGCAGTGCAGTTGTAGGATTTGGTGGATGCTGGGAAATAGAAGTTTGGGATGCAGACAACGAAAAGCCTTACCTGTAACTGGTCTGTGGGGAGTGCCAAGGAGAACTGGCACTCAGGAATGTGCAGACACTGGTCTGGAAAATGGCAATGAATTTTCATGCTGTTCATGAAGATACACTCTCAGCCTAATGAAAACAAAAAATTACCTGTGAACTTATAGAGTAAGGGCATGACTAAAACCAACTTACATGATATCCACTACTTCTGCAGCTTCTGATTGCTCTGTCCATCTGTAATGCCTCTGAAGAAAAGAGCAATTGTTGCCTTTGTGGCCATATCTTGATCTTTCAGGCTTACTGTTTTGTCAGGTTTGTCCTAGTCTCTTGTTGAGATTGTGGATGTGGTCCTACCCTAAGAAATGGGGTCTGTGGCTGCTTAATATATACTATGCAGTGTAAGATTTGCACATCAGTGTCATTAATTTATCCTTCTCGTTGAAAACCAAAAATTCCAAGCTCAAAAAGGAAACAGCAGCACAAAAAGAGCACATCCCGTTGCCCACATTGCAGCTCTGTCTGAGAACAGCACAGCTGCTGAGCTGCCTTTCCACTTTTGTGTGTGGAAAGGATAACTTCACTCACTTCCAGGAGGAGAGAACTGTCATGTTCATGCTCTGACGTAGCATGCAGATGTCTAACTGTGTTACTGTTCCTTTTGACCTGCCTGGGCAATGATTCCATGACTTCACAGGATGTTAATTCGAAATATTCCCATGCAGTGCAAATTCCTTTTTCTTCAATAGCCAACTAACTCTTTCCAGTATGCAAGCTTCTGCAGATTATATCAGACATGCAGCATAACCTTGTGACTTGCTTGTTCAGGGAGAAGCAGAGCAGTTCATAACAATGCTCTTCTGACTGTAATAGTAAATGTTCCAGTCACGTGCACTTATTGGCCTGAATATGTCCAACCATGGGAGTTAGATAGAGGCAGATGTTTAGACAGGTTGTATACAAATGCACACACATATAGGGGTTAGTTTTGTTGATAATTTTTGTACTCCTTCTTACAGTTTGGGGGGTGTTTTTTGGTTCAAATCACTAGAAGAAGTAGATGTTTGTGTGGGAATGAAATTTCAGTTTTTATGTGCAGACAGCATACTGCAGTGTTGCTTATGGTTCTAGTCATATTTTGGTAATGAAATTGTCCATTACTAACACTTCATAATATTGAATAGTATAAACAAGTTTGCAGGGTTACCTTGCAGAGATGGGAGTGGAGAAACAGAGCTACAGTCGTTCTGTTTCTCTTGTACAGTTTTAAGTGATGCTTCTCTCTATTGGATGAGAAAAATTTCAGACTCAGAAAGTCAACAAAGCACAGTAACTATAAAGGCTGCAAATTTTAGCATTGTTTTTAGGGATAAAGCTGCAGCAAAATCTCTGCTGGCAGATGTGAAAGTACCTGAATTTTTAGCAGTTGCAATACCCTGTCAAATGACAAGGATGATTCCAGCATTCACCTGCATGAATTAGCACCATCACTTTATCATAGAAACAATTTTGAGAGTCAAGAGCCCATCGAAGTGGGTGAATGGGATGTGTGGTATCCAGAGGGCCTAACATCACACCTGGAGTTCTTTAGACATTTCACAGTGTTCATGAGATCTCTTGGTCAGTTCCAGCTCTCGGTGACCAGACAAGACAACTAGAGGAGTATCTACAGAGCTGCATAAAAGGCAGAAAGAAATGTGAAGGTCTGGTCCAACCAGATCCGTTACCCATTTGTTCTGGGACAAGGTTGCCCAGGGAGGCTGTGGCTGCCCCAGCCCTGGTGGTGTTCAATCCAGGCTGGATGAGCCTTGAGCAACCTGATCTAGTGAGGAGGTGTCCCTGCCCAGGGCAGGGGTTGGGGCTGGGTGATCTGTAAGGTCCATTCCAACCCCTAAATTCTGTGATTCTAGGGTGAAGGTGGAACTCAGTGTCCCATATTTGGAAAGGCTGTTTGGTTCCCTCCTATTCTGGGTTGTGTGTTAAGTTCCTCAGGAGTTCTTACCAGGAAAAATGAGTGCACTCTCCTCAGTTCTTACAGCATCACATGCTTGACTTGATTTACTGTCTCTCTGTTTGGTTCTGAGTATCAGGCACTGTTTGACAGCCTTAGCTGTAACAGTTTGTTTCTGTGCCACATAGAGCTAATGCTCCAGTTCTTCAGAAGGTCACAGATGAACTCTTTTTAATGTTTTCTCAAAAAACAAAAAGCCTTGGCTGGCCCAAGGTATAAAAAATAAGGATAAAATTAGGCAAAAATCACAAATGTCAATTAAGTATTTTATACTTTCCTGTTTCTGCTGTGGATATTGATGCCTTTCAATATACACCTAGGCAAATCCAATTGGACTTAAAAAAGAAAAACCACATAAAGAAAGGAAATCTTTTTCTATTTGAGATTTAAATCTATATCTTATTATCATTTTCAACACTGATCTATTTAAATCTATATATTATTATCCTTTTCAACACTGATCTATAGGAGTATATCAAAGGGAAGTAGGTAGGTCTGACCTGGTGCATTGTATGCCCTGGAAAAGCACAAGAATTTTGGAGAAACACTCTGGGTGATCCTTTGCTTTCAGAGGATGTCAACAATGTCTAAAGCTCTTGCCACTATCTAGCCATTTGCTTAGCTGAGCACCCTTTTTGCTAGAGTTTGTTGAGTATGCTGTTTGCACCGACTGCACGTTTCTTTTCCCCAAGTCTAAGGCACACACTGTCCTCAGGAATAATGTCTTTTTTGAATGGTGAATGACCTTTTCATATTCTAAGTGTTGTCTTTTCAACCAGATGACCAGTGTGACTGGGCTGTGCATGCAGGCTGCGTTTGTGAAGTCTGACAAAGCTTTAGAACCTCAATTTGTGCAAAAAACAAAATGCTTTAGGTCGTTGCAGATCTAATCTCTGACAACTTTGCTCTATGCATGCGCCCTTAGAGAGACAGCATGAGCAACTAGGTATTTTTATATAGAAAAGGTTAGTCCAAAATGTCTTAATTATTCCCAACCAAATTCCACGTCTTGATTCAGACAAAAGAAATTTCCATTTCAGAAATGGCGAGAAGAAAAAGTTCAGATACATGATACACATCTCATTTCTTAGGATGTTTTTTATTCTAAATTTGTGCCTAATGTGTGAGATCTGAATTTTGGTGAATAAACAAAAAAAAGGGAAAATAAGAATTCTGCTTTATTAGCCATCCTAATGAGAGGTTCCTTCCCACAGCTCCAGGTCTGTCTCCATATAGAGGGAGGCAATAATTGGAAGGAGCTGCCCAGGGAAGTAGTGGAGTCAACAAGAAACAACTGGATGTGGCACTTAGTGCTGTGTTTAGTTGCCAAGGTGATTTTCTGTCCAAGGTTGGATTTGATCTTGGAGCTCTTTTCCAGCCTTAATGGTTCTCTGGCTATTTCTGGTATCTTTCTTTCCTGCCCCTTTTTGTTAAAGGGTTTATAGGGAAAATTTAGATGTATACTCAAGTTAATATTGATGATGACAAGGCTAAAATTTCCAGAGTGATGATGGACAACAAGTAGGTTTTTGTTGTTTCTTTGGAAGTCCATTCTTCATTGCTACAAAATACACATCAGCTGTGGCTATGCCCTTTCCCAACAGCAAGTTGTGTTCTGAGGCACAGTTAGGCTCAGTTGTGTTGTGTGGAAAGCTCAGAAGGAAAATGTCTAGTGAAAAGAGGTTAATAATACCTTAATGCAAAACCTCAGAAATTTCCAGAAGTTTCCTTCATAAAAAGTTCTGCAGAAGGAAAAATATCTTGGGAAACACAGCTTTGGGGTGAGTGTTAATATGGGGAAAGACAAGAATTTTGGTGGTATTTTATTCTGAAGGTGTTAATGAGGTGATCAGTCTAATAATGTATGTAGTGCACATTTGCTGTGTCCTTGCTGTGGCTTCTTCCACTGCAGACTCAACTGGGAATGTTGGCAGAGAGAGTTTCTGGAGCTGTGGGATCCAGTGGACTTAACTGCAAAGTGCTACCTGGCATTGTGGGACTTAATAATCTTTTGCATTATGTCACAGATCATTCAGAGGCAAATTAGCACTTGCATATTTATAAGCATCATTTCATTTTGGTTAACTGAAAATCATCCATGTTGAAAAGAAACTGCTTGTACATAGTTAACTTGCAAAAGTCACAAATTTTCATTAAAACTATTACAAACTAGATTTTTTTAAATACACTGGGCAATGACCATATCAATAAAAGTCATTTTATACAAACAGCTAAATAGGAAAGCAATAAAGTTAATGGAAGATAATTTTAAAAAGTCACATCTTCTATTAAGTTTCTCTTTGCATTAAGGAACAGAGAGAAAAGTATCACTTAGAGTGCAGTAGAACTTCCAGAAGTGTTTTATTTCTTTGTAGCCCTTACAAAGTGCTGATGTTGCTGATTTGGGGGCAAAGGTTGAAACAAATATAAGGCCAAACTCTCATAATAATGGTTATTTGGTGTTAGGGCTGACACTAGACTTCAAACAGAATTCCACATCTGAGCAGACCTATTATTTTGTTCCAATGCATATATTCTCTAAAATGCAGAGAGTGACACTTTTTTTGAAGTGTTTAAGTGAATTGCAAAGCTAAATTCCTGTGGTGGAAAAATCTAACAGCTTCCAAAGTTCCCAAAGTCTTTTCATACTGAAGCTCACGCTCACAAACCCAATGTTCTGCTGGGGTGAAATGCCACGAGCAGCACGTGGAGGCAGAGGGAAGCAAAGGGCTCAGTTCACTTCAGCAGGTTTTGCTCCAGAACTGCAACAGACTCTGCAAAACAAGAGCTGGAGGATGGGGACAGCACTCCTGATCTTGTTCCTTTTCTCCTCTGGCTCATTCTTTACTTACCCTTGGGTTTTATCTCCTGGCTGACAGTTCAGTTCCCAGGGCAATTCTCTAACTGCAGTAGTTTTCACAGGGGTTTTTTTGATGTCTCTTACTGAGAAGCCAAAGCAGAAAGGGCACAAATGCTAGTGTGGTGCTTTCCTACAGGTCAGCATGGCTGGGCAGAGCAGTGTGAGGAGCCTCGACGTGTGCCACCTCTGCATCTGCCCCAAGCTCCACATTTTGCTCTCTGGATGTCCTTTCCTACAGGCACATACACATCCCAAATGCCCTCCACAACTGTATCAGTTTAAAATATATATCATAGACTCATATGGATGATTTTTCTCTACTATTGCCACTGTACCCACGTTTAGCAGGAATTTGGATTGACATAGTTTGGGTATAATGATGATAGCACAACAACAGCACAAAGTGTAATGGCACAACAAGGACCTGTAGAGAAATCACTTTGCTCTTCTGTGTTATGCAGGAGCTGTTTAAATTCAGGACTTGGATTTAGTCTGGAAGTGTTAATGGTGTGTTCCCTCCTCACTGCTCTGGAAATGACCTTGTGTTAGTTCTGTTGGCTCATTCTAACTTTTCACTATAACCTCTAGAATGTTAGATGTTCTCTGTAGTTTCCATTTTTCTTGACATGAGCTACTTGTTAGGATGCTACAGGGTGAGAAACTAGGATTAAACCCAACAGAGTCTAAAGCTAATGAGGTTCTAACCACTGAGAACACGATGATTTTTGTGGTGATAATGGAAAAAAATTCAGATCACATTTTAATTTTGTGTTCTACTTCAATGACTCAGATTTTGTATTGAAAAATCTTCCAAAGTATTGGCTAATTTTTACCTAGAGTAGTAGCACTGCAATTTCAGTTCTTTGAGATAACATAATGTAAAAATCTACCTGAATAAGATGGTTCAGTCATTTTTTTGGCTAATTTGCAGTATCATGCTCATAAGAGATTTCTTAAAACGTGTATATATTTGAAACTTCTGTAATACTTAAATACAACTTGGTTTCTAAGTAAGGAGTAAGAATAAAATTTGAGCTATTTTTTCTATTCATAAATCCACACTTTGTAAGTAATATTTAAAAGAAGATTACAGTACCAGGGAGCTTTTCAGAGACATTTACTTTTCTGTGCAAGAGCTGGAGGTTCCTCTGGCCTGTCAGCTTTCAGTTCCTTTGTGTCTTGAGGTTCCTGTTACAATCTGCTGTGTACCCCAGAGCTAAACAAATTCACTGAGGAAAAACTTGTAGATCTGATTAACTATTGTAAGACACTTTTGGCATAAATTTGTCTTTGAGATGCTGTTTACTTTATCAAGGTTTACATGTACAAATGCAACTTCTTCCTGTATCATACACATTTGAATATTGCATTTTTTCAGTAATAAACTTGGATATCTTTGAAAGAGGCTTTGAGCTTTATTCTTCCGAATATTCAAAGGTAATTAATTTTTTTTTAAAAATCAGGTACTTGAAAAGTGAGTGCTCATGAGGATTCAAATCATAGCATTGTAAGGAAGTCATTTAAGGGTTAAATTGGGCTTGGGCACTTTTAACAGTCAAATACTCAAATACTTTGGTCTCAAAGCACTGCTAGACTCAGTTTTCAAATGTTCAGTCCTTTATGATCTTCTGATTTCACTAATCACTAACAATTTCTGAAAGAATTTCCCTGTTCCTAGTTTCACACTGTTTCTCAACCAAAGTGGACAGACTGACTCTTGTCCAGAAGGATCAAGGGCCCAGGACAGGAAGGAAATGAGAAGATAACTGTAAACAACACTGACCTGAATATTTAATCAGAATGGTCATTTCACTGGATTCCAGTTTTGCTAGGCCTTATCCTTAAATTCCTTTCTGGAATACTGACTAATGAACTGCTGATTAGCAGTTTTAGCAATCAAACCTAATATGCTGAACTCAGTAAAACTCTGCCTGGCTCCACGACAAGTACAGGAAACACTTGGGCTCAATGAGCAGCTTCAGGTCAAGTAAAACTAGTCTGGAAATATGAAGTCAGAAAAAACTTCAGGGTATTCTTCAAAGTCATTTGAAGTGAATGCAATTCCAGCCAACCTAACTCACTTTTTTTGGACATTAAATGGAAAAATCAAGATTCTCTTTTGTGGCAAAGGACTTGAAAAGTCTGAAGTGAATCCAGTGTTGCTAAACTTGTGAATAAAATACCCAAAAATACAAACTCTGCATCTTCCAGCATGCAAAGCACAATGACACTGCATTGAGTAAATGCCTTCAAAATATTCAGAGCAGATGTGGTTGTCCTCACAGTCAGAGGTCTCTGAACCAGACCAGACTTTAGAGGAAAAGTGTCTCACTGAGCACTGAGTGGACTCTGCTTCCAAGACATTTTACCAAACAGATTATTTTGCCAAACTGTGTGTCCTTTTTTATTTGCAAAATTCAGCATTATGAATTAGGAGGTATCATCACCATCAAATGTTGCTTTATTTTCTTTATTGCATAAAAGTAACAGATGGATCTTTTTGAGCTGAAAGGATGTTTTTCCAAAACAAAGAACTATCCTGAATTCAAAGTAAAATTTGTTAGTCTCTCCTATGGGTTTCAAGTTACAAAGAAAGCTGAGTTGCACAGAGGAAGCACACACACTTAGCTCAGTACTAACAGACTGGTCTGTACAATGTTCCTGTGAGGAGGTTTTTTGGCAATGCCTGGGAATAGGCTGAGCTTGACCTCCCTCCTCTCCCTCCATCGGGGCAGATCACAGTCTCACCTTAGTGAGAGACCACAGAAACTTCTCCAAGAGACCTCAGAAACCTCTCCAAAGTCTTATTTTTATCTCAAGTTCACCTCTGCACGTTTCCCTTCACAAGTTACTGAGCAGAGCATGTGACACGGATATTGCAGCTGCTTCCGAGTGGGAACTTCCACAAGAAGATCCATGAAACATTTCTTCCCAAATAGCAGTGCTTCCCAAACCCCATTGTCTGATCATTTCCCAGGACTGCCAGGAAATTCATAAATAAAAATTCTGGCCTTTACTGCCATAGAGAGCAATTGTTGCCTCTTGGTCACCTCTAAGCTGGTAAATGCAATAAAAAAAAAGTTCTTAATTTCTGAAGCTGGAGCAATAAAGTTGGATTAAATGTCCCTTGTCCCTCAGCTTCTAGAGGCGAGATTCTCTGCTCATGTTTGTGTAGGATTTTTCCTCAGGATTGTAACCAGGGAAAGGGCAATTGTTTTCTTTGTTGGTGTTGTTCTTGAAGGTGTCATCTGTTCTGGTTTTATTTGCAGTAATGTTAGGCAGGTGTTTCTCAAAGCTCACCTGAAAAAAAGAAAAAGAAAATACCATTGTAGTTCAGAGGTTGTCTTTACTGCTTTTCTCACCTTTGATTAGAGCAAAACTGTTAGAGCTGTGCAGGAAGACAAGGTGCTCATTCTGTGTGGCCTTTAAATGAGCTGCAGAGCTTGGGGCACCTGAGAGCAGCTGGTCCTGTGGCTGAGGGATGGGCAGGAGCAGTGTAGGTCTGATAATCACAGCCCTGCCTGGAGAGAAGCTCTGGAGGCTCTGAAGGTGGAGATGGCAGCAAGAAGAGACCTCCACAAACGTGAGTGCTAAAGTCTTTCTCTTTGTGTTTGCTAAGAGGAGGAGGTGAGAGCTTGGTGAACTCTTCTCTAGGGTGTAAAGTGCAGTTTTGTCCTTGCTTGGCTGCTGGAGCTGGGAGGGCAGAGGGAGGTCAGAGCCTGTTTCATGGGTTCCTGCCCATCCTCAGGGCTGTTTGTCTGTGGAGACCCTGAGTCCCCACACGTGATGTGAGCAGGAAAAAACAGGTAACTTATTACAGAGCAGGGTTTGGCTGCTCTCATTCCCAGTCTGTGGTGCCATGCAGTGTCCCTTGCTGCAGCTGCTTGGCTCTCTGGGCCAGAGCAGGGCTGAGCTGGGAGGTGCAGGACTCACCTCGGGGCTGTCATGCCTCACTCCACACCACAGCAAAGTTTTGAGTCGTTTGGACCAAAAGCAAAACAGGTTGCAGACTGGCTTAATTAACACTGGTGGGATATCTTCTCCTTTAGTAGGTCCTGAAAAAAAAAAGAAAATAATGATACATGAGTCTGTGGAAAGAGGATCATGAGGCTGGGGAGGGGGATCAGAGCCCACTCCCCTCTCCTGGGTCTGTGTCTCACAAGTTGCTTGCTGGAGCTTTTTTAAAGCTTTTCGTAACAGCTGAGTCAGATTCTTGTGCAAAAACGTGTTTGTTGGTATATATAAATATACCCACACGTATCTATGTATAGAACACCAACCTGTTATAAAGCTGATCACCAAGCCAGTGATGGCACAGCCCAGGCAGCCGATGGCACTGAAGTACAGGTAGGACAGGGAGTACCAGGTGTCTGCCAGCACAGGCCTGGGAAGAGGTGAGAAATGCAGCTAGTGATGAGCAATAGGTGTGTTTCAGTTGTCTCCTGACTGTGCCAGCAAAACACAGCACAGGCTGAGGCTGCACCCTGTGCCAAAACAGGGGCTCAAGGAGGAGCAAAGGAAAATACCTCTCTGGAGCTGCTGTAGGAGCTGCTGTCACCAGTGCCTCGGTGCTGTTTGCCAGAGAGCAGTTCAGAGTGGACAGATGCAGAGGGAGGGACTTTGCTGATGGTGCAGGGTAAATAAAAGAGCCAGTACCAGCCCAAAAGGCCAAGGTGAGCCCTGCTAAGAGACCTCCCATCGCACCCTTGGCAAGGACAGAAAGATGCTGTTAAGGTGATGCATGGGGAAAGTAGGTGATGATGGGTTACAGTCTGTGTCAGTGTAAACAAATTCTGTTCTTTCTCAACCGAGGTATAAAATGTGGTGTTTTAGTGTCCTCTGGTTATAAAAGTTGGAGCAAAACTGTGATCCAAGCTACGACGTGGGAGGTGTTTTGGGAAGCTGAGCTCAGTTTTTCTACATTTTGTCTGTATTGATAATACCATTCTAAAATGTAATTGGGATAAAGTGATACTGGAGAAGTGCAGCTAGACTCAGTTTTACTTCTGGTAATTGGGATGGGAGAGCTGAGGGAGCGACGTGGAATGAGCTCGTGTTGTGTTTTCTGTGAGATGGCAAAGGCTACAAGTGAAATAATTCTGTGCATCCCAAGGCTGGGGCAAGTGTTGACTATTTTTGTCTTTCTTATGAATCTTAAAAACAAAAATAATTTTTAAGACCCCTTATGTGGATCTAATCATCAATTATTTTGCAGCTGGGTAGACTTAAATTCAAAAGGATTAATTCAGGCAGGGAAAAGGCTCCTCTAAACACAACTTAGATCATCAGGCTCTGAATCTGAAAAGCAGCCTGAAGACAAATCAAAAAACCAAACAATTTTCAAGCTGGAGTTTTAACCACAGAACATCAAGAGATTTTATTTTAGATCAAGTTTGGGGTTTTTCTCCTTACCTTCCAGTTAGCACAAGGAAACACAATTCCCAGGGTAAATAATCCCAGCATGGGCCCCCCACACATCCCGTGGATGGAGAGGGAAGCCTGTGAGTGCAGAGAAGAGAGAGGAGTTCAGGGCAGCAGCTGAGGGAAACCTCCAGTTCTGATTTTGGTCTGTAATTTTCAGGGGGAAAATGGTGAGGGAGAAGGGACATCAGTGATTTCAGAGCACAGAGAATCACACTCAGTACCATTCCCTAGCAGTGAGTAAACAGTGAAGGAGTTAGGGGAGTTATGATTTTTTTTTTTTTTCCCCAGTTACTCCTCTCAGCAGTGTCCACAGAATGATTTAGGCAATCCAGCAGCCCCCAGAGCTGGCAGCATTATTTGGTCAGTTCATTGTGTGTCTGTTCATTGCTGTTCTGCTCACTGTGCTCTTGGAGCATGAGATACCTGCACAACTCCTCCCAGCAGTGATGCTGCTGCAGCCATCGAGGTGCACAGGACACCGTATAAAACACCTGGAAAAGATCAGGCAGTGAGGGGCCCAGTGCTGGTCAATAGTGGGACAACACTAATTCTGTGGTGTCTGAGGTGACCTGGCAGTGTTGAGGAGTTTGACATTTAAAGAGGACCATTGAGCACCCAGCAGCTCAATGGGGATGGACACCTTTGCTGCTGAAATAACGGATCCCACCCGGGTACCTACACAAGCCTTTGCTGATCCCGGTGCTCATCCTGTCAGAGAGGTTTGGGAACCCTTTCTTGACCACATCTTCAAAGGTAACAGTTGCTAAAGCGTTGATGCTGGCAGCTACTGTGCTGTAAAGAGAGAATGCTAAGTAAATAGGAAGCAATGCAACCTGAAATCAAGTTTTTCTAAAGAAAGACTTCCCCTTGCTCAGCACTAGTGCTCAAGAACCATGTTTTACAATATTTTTCACACTTCCCCTTGCTCAGCACTAGTGCTCAAAAATCATGTTTTACAATATTTTTCACATGTGCTGTTGATGCTGGGGAGGTTTATGTTACTTCTGCAGTTGCTGGGGACTCTGCTGCATGGGGGCATGGAACTAGATAGAAACTCAACTGCCCCTCCCATTCACCAACCTGCAAAGAGCTTCAAAATATAGACACTTCCAGCACTGAAACTTTATTCCCTTACAAACTGTAGGATGTGCAGCAATCACTAGTGCTACCCTGTTCTATAGCCCAACTCTTTTAGCTAGGTGAGTGAATCCATGATGAATACAGTCACAGATCTCATGAAAAAACAATCTATATCCCTCACTGTGATAGTGTGGCAGTTGCCTTAAAAAATGGCAAATTCACCATGAGCAACTCCAAGGGTGTTTTGGGAAGCTGAGCTCAGTTTTTCTACATTTTGTCTGTATTGATAATACCATTCTAAAATGTAATTGGGATAAAGTGATACTGGAGAAGTGGAGCTAGACTTTGGCATAAATGTAATCACAGAACTATTTAGGCTGGAAAAGACCTCTAAGATCACAGGGTCCAACTGCAAATCCAGCACTGCCAGGTCCACCACTAAACCATATCCTTGAGTGCCACATCTACGTGTCTTTTAAAGACCCCCCAGGGATGTAATGCAGTTCACTAAAGCACTGCTGCTGCTTCCCAGAATGTTCTGAGAAAAACAGCTGGGCTCTTCTTAGGCTTTCATGTTCTGACCTCAATCTGCACCCTCAAAAAACCATTGTGCACAGTTCAAATGCCATTTCAGATTCACAGACCTTAATGTTCCACTGAATGCACAGGCAACAAACAGTCCTGGGACTCCTGGCATGGAAGAAAAGATGTCCATAACAAAGTAAGGCATGAGCTGGGGGAGAAGGAACACAAGACCAATGCAAGCCATTAATTAAGGGTTCCCTGGGTGGTGGTGGAGAAGTAGCTGTTTCTGAGCATGTTGCTAAACTCTGGCATTGTTCCAAATAACACAGTATCAGATTTGGGGCAAACAGAATCTCACTTGGCAAAAAACACTGAACTGGATTGCAGGAGTGCTAGAATAGATATTGTGGTAGTCCTGATTTGGCAACCACCTTAGTGCCTGAGTGCTGAAAGGGCATAAAACATTGCACGAAATTTAAACTCTCTTAATGTGCTGTATCTGGGCCCAAAGCAGCTCCTAATTACAGTAATGGACATCAGTACCTGATCAGGGGCTGAAATGAAATCAGCAGTCCAAGGATCACAACTCTTGTAATGAGAGTACATCACCAATCCACAAAATACTGCACATACTAGGACTGTCCAAAGTCCCAATAAATTCAGGTAAAGTGCCCTAAAGCAAAGGAGAGAAACTCTGTTTAAGGTGAGATAAATGATAAAGCTGTTGCTACAATGAAGCTGTAGATAGCACAACTTCTGTGTGGGCACATTTGCCATGCTCTGCTTCTGAGGATTCATTTGTCAGCCTTACTCCAAATTAATAAACTGCAAGAGATCAATAGCTGCCTCTTTTTCTTGCTGCATTTGCTTAAGTCGTTTGGGCCAGAGGGAGTGAGACTGTCAGAGCAAATTCCCCTTGCTATCACCCATGATAGCCTGATGCTTATTTAGTATAGCTGAAAAACTTGGTGTAATTCCACACCAATATGCTTGGTTGCCTGAACAGGTTAAGGACAGGTAGCTTACAGCTTTGCATGCTTTTCTGATTTGCAAGAAATGCATCTCTGTATTGTGGACTGGTTGACTCCATAGAGCCCTAGCCAGGTAAAGGTTCCCCCGACAGCGATGGTCCAGAAGGTGTGTCGTCGCAGGGGGTCGACATCAAAGCTAGAAGAAAGAAAGGAAGAAGCAATTTAGTTTGCTTATTTAAACCCACATTTATTCTGCAAAAGGCAGGTGATTTTTCAGACCCATCTGGCTTTTCCTAGCATCTGAATCAGAAATTCTGCCTTGGTATTACTGTTCTTCAGCACAGGCAATATCTGAGAACATCTGAGGTTGGAGTCAGGTGGGGGTTGGTCTCTTCTCCCAGGCAACCAGCAGCAGGACAAGAGGGCACAGACTCAAGCTCTGCCAGGGGAGGGTTAGGTTGGATATCAGGAAGAGATTTTTTCCAGAGAGAGTGCTCAGGCATTGGAATGTGCTGCCCAGGGAGGTGGTGGATTCCCCATCCCTGGAGGTTTCCAAGCTGAGACTGGATGTGGCACTTAGTGCCATGGGCTAGTGACCACAGTAGGGTTGGACTGGATGGTCTTGGAGGTCTTTTCCAACCTGGATGATTCTATGATGTATTTAAGTTTGGAGGTTTGTTTTGGGGTTTTTTTACTTTTATATTGAAACATGTTTCTTTCAAGTCAGGATAAACAACTATCATACAGCCTCAGTCAGAGGACAAATTAATTCAGAGAAATCTCATTTATAAGGCTGCTCATGCTCAGATATCAGATCTTCCCTGTTGCAAAAAACAGACCTGCAGGACATCCTGCCTGGGGCTTCATCCTCTGTAAGGAACAAAGTCACTTTCCAAACTCTAAAACATTCAGCAAACTCTGCATAACACATGATGATGATGCAATTTCCTTTACAAGAAATTGCTTCAGCTGCAGTGTTATCTTTTGTACAATGAAATCTCATTGCTCAGTAAATCTAACCAGTACATCTTTCTGTCTCACATCTGTCATCTTTGCAGTTTGTTCTTATCTTGGGAGGTACAGCAGATAACATCTGACCTTGCTGTTGGATTCTGTCAGTGACTTGTCTTGATTAATGAACTTTTCAGTCAATGCCCCAAACAGCCTAAGGAAGGTCAGATGTCTGTCCTGGTGCACCATTGCTCTGGTGAGTGTGTGTAGAACAGAGTGCCAGTTTTGAAAGAGTTAGCTCTCCTGAAGGTCAGGAGTCCATTGCCAAGAGCTGAAGAAACAGGGAATGGACCTCTCTGAGCCACCAAGATTGTTTAGTAACAATTTGGGGTATTTTTGGCTCAGTGAGGGTAGGGTTGCTAAACAGTAAATATATGAAAAGGTTTGCACCATTTGTTTCTTACTCAAATATGTTTAGTCGTGATCCTTCATGGGCATCTTCCCAAACTTTGGTTGCTCCACCATTCAGACTAGTTCCTCGAACCAAAACTGACACAAAACCAGCCACCATGACCATCATTTGAAATGCATCTGTCCAGACAACAGCTTTTAATCCTCCCTAAAACAAACAGAAACTGTATGTCCTCCATCCTGTCGCTCAAGTACTGCAAAATATAGAAAGACTCTTTATTTCAGGAGCTGTATGTATAGCACCAAGCACATCAGGGCTATTCTCCCATAAAGGGGGTGTTTTTGCAGGACAAAAAATGATGAAAGTGGACTGAAATATTATGGGGGGGAATGATTAGTGGTAATGAGAACAGGAATTAGGCTGTCTCTCTTCTGCTTCACTGTTATGTTTATCTCATTTGAAATTTGGAGTCTCATGTTGCTTCTGCTCCGAAGCAAATCTCTCTGTGAGCTCTTGATTGTCCTTCCTAGGTTTTATTGCCCTGTTCTTGATCTGGGGTGACACCAGAAGCATATTTTTAATCAGTGTTTTTCAGCCTATAACTTGTAAAGATAAGCATCCTCTCCAAAGATTCAGCATGGCAGGGGAAGGTTACCACCTCCTTATCTGGACTCTGCCTCCAGCTGTCTGGTTTAAACCTTGAGACACACAGCAGAGGATTAGGGAGGAAATATTTTTTTCACCAAGTCGACTTACTTATACCACGGAGTGTAAAAAGAAATTTATCTCTATGTTCTCCAACTTTAAACTCACAGAGCAGGAGTCAATCTGCCTGGTGTGCAAAGTGGGTGTTTGGCTTAACCATCTGTGTTCCAGCTGTTCAGTTGTGCCTGTCACGTACCAAAGTGCAGTAGAAAGTGCAGACGATTCCTGTTGCAGCTACAGAGCCCCAGAGATCAAATCCAGTGACTGTGAAACCGAAGAAAACCAAATTGTTAGCAAAATGGAGGAAGGTCATCTGGATAGCAACAGAGGAGATGTGATCGTTTAGCTTTAGAGGATGGGAGTGATTATCAATTTTCATCTTTGGTGCCTATTAGGAACTTTGTGGGATTGTTCAGGTTTCTTAGCACTTCTGGATGCTGTTTTGCATTGCTGTTTTCTTTCAAATGGGAATGAACTAACTTTCAAGCAAAAGTAACAAGTAAGAAGAATACTTGCACAAAGCAAAAATGTCATTCTGATGGGACACAGCTCTATAAGTAATGCTTCCCTTCTTTCCTTAGCCCAGAATTTCTCTTGAGAAACCAAGTTCTTCAGTGATTCCCAAAGAATCCTAAGACAAAAACAAAACAAACCCAACCCCTAATTAAATTTAATTCCCTGCAACTAGGAACAGCTTAATGCTAAAATGTCCTTCCTTAAAACAAATTTTTTTTTTGTGTCCATTGTACTTCATAAAGTTACACAAGATGTACAAATTTGGGTTTGGCTGATACTGAAATGTCTCCCACTAGGCATAGTTTGTGAGGACAAATCTACTTGTAAAGGTTCCCTCGTTAGCAGAGTTAGTATTGCCTAATAATGAACATGAACTGTCACACAGAGTTCAGCTGCATGCCAGAGGAAGGAAGTTTGGAGCTGTGGGAGAGGTGGGGTTGGATGAACTGGATGCAACTCAGACAACAAACCATGAAAAAAAGCCTTAAAATCTCTTCCCAATCGATGCTGGTGAAATTAGGATTTGGGCCATGATGATTCCTTGTGCCCTGTGGCAGGAAAATTGCTCTTCCCACCTCTGATGATGGATGCTCCGTGCCTAGTTTGCAAATACTAACTGCAGAACTCTCAGAAGTCTGCAGTCAGCAGCAGAGCATTCCTCTCCAGCCTCACACAAAGGAGTTGTGCCCATGGGAACATGAGCACAGGAGACAGGGACAGGGGGATTCAAAGTACAGAGTACGGTCTTGGATCATCAGCTTGTCCTGTGAACTTTGTCAGGATGTTGGGAAATTGTTTGCTGTGAACCTCTTCAGGTGGTTACTGAGTGGAAAGGAGAGAACAGTCCCTGCAAGGCTCCTGCTGCTGTGCTTGTGTGAGAGGGACCTGGGGAGGCAGAAATGCAGAGCCAAGAGGTGGCGGCAAAAACCTTCTCACAGAACTTCTGTGGAGCTTTGGGTTTTGTATTCTGTGTCTAGTTGCCTCACTTAGTTTGCTCTGATTGCCCTGTGGTGTGGTTATTTGGGGCAACTCACCTTGGTTGAGTGCCAGTGATGGAGCATAGACCACTATTCCTGTGTACAGGATCTGAAGGAGAAAAAGTTCATTAAAAATCACATGTCTGAATGCTCAGTGATAAGGCTTCTATTTAGAGTAGGGCTCTGAGCAAAATACCAGATTTAGGGGGTTCTTTAGATCAGCTTGTATTGTATATGACTTTGTTTCAACCCTTGCAAAACAAAAGCCTTTGGTTTAATTCCTTTCTGAAGGAAGGACCATTGTCTCTCTTGGTATTACTTATTTCACCCGTTGCTAAGATGCCCAGACAACAAAATATCCTCATCAAACAGAAGGAGGATATCTCCAGCAAACACAAGCAGTGACACAGAAACAAGTTACACTGATCTTGGAAATTAAAGTTTTGTTTCTCCATTCAATCCCTTTCAAAGCAACTGACTCAATGCCCTTCACATATAAGTTCTGGTAGAACTGAAGGAGAAACAGAACATGGAAGTCAATAAGGATTCAAATCCATTGCTAAAGGTTTGGGCATTAATACAATGGAATTAATGCAGAAGAAATGTTTCCCACTGCCCCATAAAATTCTATTTTTCCATCAAATATACAACCAGTGTAACCTTTAGACAGGGGGGACTATCACGGGACTGGAGCTACCTGGGCATCTGCCCAGGAGATGCCTTGTGCAAGAGCTTTCAAATGGGACAGTTTCAGCTCAGTGTCATAAAGGGGTAGCTGTGGACCCAGATGTACCCACCACAGCTTGCCAAGCTTCTCCAGAAAGAGAATCTACTCGTTTGGGAGCAGAGAGACTTCAAGGGAACATAACTAGACCAAGAATTTGGGAAGCTGTAAGAGTTAGCACAACACTGAAGTGTCAAAGACAACAAAAATGGCATTTTTAATACTAAACAGGGAGAGTTAGGGAAGCTAGAAAGTTAGGAATGTAACCATTCTTTTCAGCACTCATAGTTCAGGTGAAAAAAATGATACTCGTTTGGGAGCAGAGAGACTTCAAGGGAACATAACTAGACCAAGAATTTGGGAAGCTGTAAGAGTTAGCACAACACTGAAGTGTCAAAGACAACAAAAATGGCATTTTTAATACTAAACAGGGAGAGTTAGGGAAGCTAGAAAGTTAGGAATGTAACCATTCTTTTCAGCACTCATAGTTCAGGTGAAAAAAATGACAAAAAGAAGTTAGGAATGTAACCATTCTTTTCAGCATTCAGGTGAAAAAAATTGCAAAAAGAAAGAGCACTCATTAAACCATCTCATGATAAGAAATGTGCAGTCTGAGATTAGCATGCCAAGATGAACCTTGAGTGAAAGTAGCAGAGACAAAGAGTCAATATTTTCTTACCGTCTGCAGGATGTAGATCAGTGTTGCAGCAAGACGGACAATCTTGTTAAACCTTAACTCTAAATACTAGGGAAAAACAGCAATCTCAGTAAATTACACATGTATCATCTGTGACACAGATGCTCCTCTTGTGTTTTACACCTTGCTAAGCAAGTGAAATTAGTGGCAGCTGGCACTGCTGCTGTGGGTAACAGGCAGCAGAGCAGATTTCCTAACTCAGCAGTAATTACATTGAAGAAATCTTCTCATCTGTACCATGTACTGGAAGTTCTGTGTTGGGTTGCAGTGATTGACACCTGCTTTGATTTGGGAATAGCTGAAAAGCCCAAGGGCTACAAAGGAAAAAAATTTAAACTGAAAGTATTTTCCATCTATACAATAGGAAACTTGAGATCATTTCTAGGAGAAATAGCATAGTTTGACTCCAGCAGTGACTACAGTGCTGGTGGAGCAGATGGGAGAAGAAGCAATGTGGATTTTCTTAATGCATGAGCTAAACTGGCTTTCTCACTTGTCCTGTGGCCTAAAGCCAAATCTGCACATCACCAACATGGAAAAGCAAATGGGGTTTGTGGTGGATGGAGAGAGGTGATCCCAATCACCACATAACTGCAGAGCTCAGTAGATCTTTAGACATCTTCTTTCTCTTCCTCCCACCTCAGTTTTTCAAATGTCAAATAGTCCAGTTTTATAGTAGATTGGACCAAATTGCCACATCTAGACCAAGTTTGAATTGGATCGTATCGACTGTTATTCTCAAAGTGTGTTTTTAATACTTGTTTTCTAAACCAGAGTGGAATACTTACAAGATCAGAAGCATTTGGATGTACTTGAATATTTCCAACTGTCATTTGATTGGTGCTGGTGTGTAAACCCATACCCTGTCTGTGCTATATGTGCACAACAGGAGCTCTGACCCTGTTTGTGCTTTCACCTTACACAGTACAAATAACTAGCTTTGAACAATGCAATAGATTTCAAAAAATAACGAAGGTATCGATACATTTGTCCTGTAAAACACTGCAAAAAGTTTTGTCAGAGGTTTTTTTTCTCTAAAAATATATGCATGATACTGACTTATGCTAGAATAGTGCCTTTATTTCACTTACCTCGTAAGTGCTTGTGATGCCAGACCTGTAAAACACAGGTAGAAAAAGTTCAGCTGTAAAAATGATGACGAGTGCATAGGAAAGAAAGAACAGCACAAAGGATGCTCCATAGCGATACACTTCAGAGGGTGTCCCCAGGACAGTGACTGCTGACATGAAGCTTGAGGTGAGAGAAAAAGCTATGGGTCCACATGTCATCTGCCTTCCACCCACCAGGAACTCCTTGGAAGTTTTCTTCTTCCTCTCTTTAACGGCAAAAAACACTCCAATGCTGGCACAGACTAAAAATAGTGCTGCAAAAACGACATAGTCCCAAGCCACAAATTTTTTGACTTCTGGAGCTACAAAGTTTGGCATTGCAGCAGTTGTACAATTCTCTGATGGAGGATTCTGGTGTCCAAAACTGGTGCTCTGACCAGATGAACTCCGTGGACAGCAAAAGCTGCAGCTTATCTGTAGCTCATCAAATAATAAACTGAGAGATTGTTCAGCCAGGAGACCTCTTTAAATCCAGTTCAGTTTTAAGGAGGTGAAAAACAGTAGCTAAGGCTGAGTTAGGAAGGTGCTGAATGCACTCAGACACTAGTGCTACTTGTGCTTCTGCCAGGCAGGCTGAAGTGAGGGGACTTAGCTGTGAAATCTCTAGTACAATCCCTTTTTATCTGTGAGGTGTAAATTTTAGGTTAAACATTAGCCTGACACATTGACTGGACCCAACTCTTTTCTAACCTCTCAGCATTTTTAAATCATAAAATGAGAGCGATAGCGAAATAAATAACGGAGAGAGAAGCTCAGTGTTTGGACCTGGCACCTCACCAGAGTTGATTTTCAGAGGAGCAATTCCCTCCTGTGGATGAACACTGACCTTGAACATCATTGATAGGTTTCAGAGTTGTCCTTGATGTTCTGAGTGTGCTTCTTGGTGTGTTTGGGAACCTGGGGACCTCCAGGTGAGCAGAAGTCTGGTTTGTGCTGCACAGTTCGAGGTGACTTTCAGATATAAACTAATATTTCACTGACTGCTACTAATGACAATTTACAGCCTTTATGGATGGGTTCATGTGAGAGTGGCTTATTTATCCACGGGGTTGGACTTCTAGGACAAGAGGATCAAAGAAAAGGAGATTAAACAGCAATGCTTTTCTCAGCTATGTCTTTGGCACAGTATATGAAATTCAATTAATTTAGGATTTCCTTGTGTGTTATTTGTTTTGTTTTAAATAAGTGAATATTTGTTTCATCTCTGTCAATGCCATGACAATACATTTTCCAGAGAAGGAGGAAATGACTTGTCATCCTGAAGGATTAACCTGTACAAAGAGGTAGTGTGTATAGTTGCAGCCCTGAAGGAAGCAGGGAATGTTTAGGAGAAAATCCAGAAAGAAATGCAATAACCTGGGGGAGCTTTTAATCAAAGAAGTCATTTTCTTCAGCCTTGTCTTGGCTGGGGATGGATCCCAATTCTCCTTAAGCCCTCAGTAAACTGAGGTGGGTTTGCTGTGTGAGCTGTACCTTGGAAATTAGTGGGTGTCCAGACCCCTTTGCTGCTCCATCCCTTGCTCAGGAGAAAGAGGAAGATGTACACAGCACCTTCTCTGCTTAGTGCAGAGCCAAGGAAAATCCAGGTCAGCCACAGCTGGAATTGGCTTCTTCTGGCCCTGTGTGCAGTAAAGACTGTGCAATTTTCCTGGCTGATTTTGGTGAGACTGGTGTAAAAGAGGGAGTTGAAAGGCTTCTTTCTACTTCAGGATGTGAACTAAAAAAGCCAAACAAACAAAAATCCCAAATCAACATGCAAAGATACTTGTTAAAAGGCAGTCAAAAAGGTGAAGTGTATGTTTGTGAGGTGTGACCCAGCCCTCTGTGGAAGCCAGGACAGGATTAAAGCTCCAGCTGTTGCCATAGCACTGGTTTATGTGCTGGAGGGACCAGATGAGACAGCAATGAACCACTTCACATTATTGTGGGTCAGTCAAAGTGAGGCAGTGCAGGTAGTGCTCCCAGAATTCTCATACAGCTGCATCACAGCAATTTGATCATCCAATTATATATCCATCACTAGTGAATATTTCTTTTGTCCAGAACAAATGACTTAAGGTGTTTCACTCTCAAAAAAGCAGCAACTCTCACTTGCCAGGCATTCCTCTGCTTTTGAGGTTTATTGAGGAAAAGTAAAATTCTGAAGCAAAAAATGCACTAAAAATCAAAGGTATCATTCAGATGTCCTGTAACTGAGGAGTTATTCTCTTTTCTTGACAGTGGACTTTGGCTTTTCTTAAGAGGCTCCTCTTTAATGATTACTCCTTCCTCAGAAAGACATGCTCATTTATCTATACAAAGATCATTAGAGTCCAATAGTGTGGGGAACTGGAGGTATTGCTCAGAGTTTCAAAACAGCTCATTCCCTGGGGACACAGAGTCCTCCCCACGGGATTGCTCTTCCCTGGCAGTGCCAGGTCACATCAGGGCACAGTGGGGACTGTGGCCAGTGGTTGAGACTCATCCCATCCTTCTGCTTCCCTCTGTTTCACACAGTGGGAAGCCAAATTTGCAAGCAAGGATGAGCAAAGCCTAGACAAGGGAAGGAAACTGGCCAAGGGATAGCAGGGCTAGGTGCAGTGTGGAAATTTGTACTGCATTGGTGATGTCAGATCCTTGCAGGGAAGGGCAGAGTATTAATCATGTGAGAAAACATTACTTTCTGTGAAAACCTGACTGTTAGCTGGGCTAACAGCTTTGCAGACTAAAATTTTCACATGGGGTTTTCCTTTTCATTAGCTGAACAGGTGAAGAAGTAGTAAAATTTGTTGCCTGACAGAAGGATGAGGCATCTTGACCCCAGCATCTCTCAGCAAAATCAGCAGTCAAGGACTGAAGAAGAGAGCAGCATAACATTCTGCTTTGTTTTAAAATGAGGCTAAGGCACAGTTAAAGGCACTTTGCATGTGGATCAAAAAGCACTTGAGGGAGTCTGTAGCAGCTGGGAAGGAAAGGAGGAGTTGAGATGTCACTGCAGGTGATTTAAGGATAAGGAAGGAGAGCACTTTTAGAGGATGAAAAAGTAATGTGTGCTTCACTATTTCTGTGCTGTTAAAAGCTTCAGAAACCAAAGTCATCTGATTTAGTCTTCAATTGTTAATAAGCAGTAGAAACACTGTTTGGACACTGCAAAAGAAGCATTTGGAAACATTTTGGCAGCAATGTCAGGGGTAGAGAGATGGTGTGTACTTAACAGGATTGTGATTAAGGGTCCACAGCAGAGACCTGTGCTGTTCATGGGCAGCTTTGATGAGCATCTCTGCTTGCAATAGAGCTGAGGATCACAACCCTTGTCTCACCTCTGTGTTATCCTACTGAAAGTAGAGGGGAAATTCAGGCACTCCCTGAGGAAAGAAGCTGTTTAACACTAAACTGTCCTGACATCTTCCCCCAGATTAGATGTTTCATGCACTCCAGTGAAGTCCTGTTATAAAAGGTATATTTTCCCACATCATAGAAAATCCAAATCAAAGGAAGACCTTTTTAGTAGGACTTGGGGATCAATCACCTTTAGTCACTCTTTTTTGTTGAGTTATTTATTGGATCACTTCCACTTTTCTTTCTTAATATGCTTCAAAGGGATCTCTTCATCCTGTTTTGCCCATAGAATTTTACTTTCCTTATGTACTCACATTATCCTGGCACATTACAGTGCAATATTACCACGCTGCAAAATGGTTCTGTGCATTTTTCTGCAAAGAGAATAGCTTCTCTTGAACTTTCACTACTCAGATATTGCTTAGAATTGCACTTCCCAATGATTACCTGTTCCTTTTTATGCCCCAAGCTTAAAATAAATTAATCAAAGATAAAGAGCTAGTCATAGCTCAAATAATCCTGCAGCTGTTCAATACATTTCACTTGAAAGAGTCAGGTGGAAAGGAGCTGGGCCATGGCTCTTCTGCAGGTCTTTGCCCTGACAGACCTTCTCTGTCTTGCACCTGAGGGCCTAAAATTTGTAATGTTTTGCTAAAATCTCATGATAATTTAACTTCAGGTATATGAGCTTTTGTTTGGACCTTTGCTTGGCCTCCCTTTAGAAAGTTTCTCTTCTGATCCTTCCTAAAGGAGGACAAGAGAAGTGGTGAAAAGAGGAAGAGGTGATGAAAACTTCTGAAGAGTCCCAAAAACATATATTAATACATAAAGAGAGCACTAGGAATGGGAGAAAATATATTTGGCTGAAGGGAAAAACAGCCTTTGTCCCTACCTAGTCAGCAGCTAGTGGGGGAGTTGATGTGCAATGCCACGTCAGCCTGTTTTGTAAGAGCTGAGGGTGAGCTCTGCACCGTGTGTGGAGCTGCACATGGGATGAGCTGCCACAGCAATTGCTTGGAAATCAGGCAAGGGGATGTCAGAACAGCATGAATGGCTGTACAACTCTCTGGAATTTGCTCATATGAACTACTGCTCCCACATCTGTTGGTCCTGTTTGATGAGTTGATCAGCTTTTCATGTGCTGCTGGCTCCAGGAGAGCAGGGCCAATTTTGTTCACTTGTTTTGGGAGAGCAGCCATGTAACTTAGGCATAACTGAAGGAAACTTGTGCCGTGCTTGCCTGGGGACATCAAGTGGAAGCAGATTGTGTTTTGGATGCAGATTGAAGGAGCATCTCTGAACAGGTGCTACAAGGACTTTAGCTCTCAGTGGTACCTGCTGATTTTAGCAGGATAAGCTAAAGGAGTATCTCAGGGTCACCCCAAATACCATGAACCATAGCAGAATCACAGAATGTGGAGTGGTCTTAGAGGTCTTTTACAACCTTAATGATCCCATGAAATATCATGTTTTGTGTGGTTGTGTGTGTATCTTACAACAGAATGTGATTGCCCCTGGGCTACCAGGCTGTCCTTGTAGTTTTTCTCTGTGTATGCACATGTGCCCACATATAAAAAGTACATATGCATGTTGATGAAGTGGAGGGATCATGGAGATTTGGTGTATGTCTCTTCTTCCATTAGTTATGTTGATTTTTTTGGGGGGATTTTGCTTTTTTTTCTTGTATATCAAATTGCTTTGGGGTGGTTCTCAGTTTCAGCTGCAGGGAGCTCAATACTTTTTTTATTCAGTCTGAGTAATTTACTCATCTGGAATCTTGACTCTGAGTCCACATGTTGAACAGTTTTGTACAGCTGACCCCTGAAGTTAAGCACAGAAAAGAAAAATATTATGATAGTAGAATGTGATCTCGGAATGGTAGTAAATTAGGCATTGAAATTAAGGACGTTGGAAATAAACTTAGGCTCAGCAGTAAATTGTAACCTTGATGCTTGCTGGGTATGAAGCTGCAGTTTTTAAATGCAGAATATACTGCTCAT